GAGCGGGGCCGAACGGGGCCGAGCGGGGCTGAGCGGGGTCGAACGGGGCCGAACGGGGCTGAGCGGCTCCGAGCGGGGCCGAGCGGGGCCGAGCGGGGCTGCGAGCGGGGCTGAGCGGGGCCGAGCGGGGCTGAGCGGCTCCGAGCGGGGCCGAGCGGGGCCGAGCGGGGCTGCGAGCGGGGCTGAGGCTCCCCCATCAATCACAGCACATTTCCCAAGCCCCGTCGTGCCTCCCAAAGCAGCCGCATACTCGGGAGAACTTTGTTTTGAGTGATTACTTTGAATAACGTGTCAAGTAGAAAACAAAACGTTAAACATTACAAACCAAAACGGATGAAAAAACTTTCAGCTTTGCTCGTGTACCTGCCGTTAATCTCATTAGTCCCAACACAGATTTTTTTTTCCCCTTACCAGAATGGGAGAACTTTGTTTTGAGTGATTACTTTGAATAGCGTGTCAAGTAGAAAACAAAACATTAAGCATTACAAACCAAAACAGATGAAAATACTTTCAGCTTTGCTCATGTACCTGCCAATTCTTTTCCTCTTAAAAAACGCCACATAAACCAGCTCCTTCCCAGCCTATTTTACTCATTTAAAGGTGAAAAAAAAGCTGAGGATTCTCGTTCATCCTGCAGGAAGGGCCAGCACCTGAGGAAGGGCAAGGACTGGGTTTAAGCCTCTGAGCCAGCATCTGAGCCAGCATCTAATACTGATCCTTCCCAAAAAAAACCCAGAGAAAATAAGAATAAATTATCATGGAATGGTTTGGGTTGGAAGGGACTTTAAATCCCATCTTGTTCCATGGGCAGGCATGTCTTCCACTGGCCCAGGCTGCAGCCTTACAACGTGGGTTGCCCAAATGTGGGTAGCCCAATTTGGGGTGCTACCATCCAGAAGTGCCAGAAGGTGCCAGGGCTGGGGCTGGCTCCTCCTGCCTGTTGTCGCAGGAGGCTGCTCCGCCCGAGCCCTGCCATGCCCGGGGCTGCTCCCCTCTGCCCCTCCTGTCTGGGAGCTCTGGGGAAGTTTCCAGCTCTAGTTTGGGGGCTCAGGGGGTTCTGGTGGCCGCCAGCCCCGCTCACGCCCCCTCAGGTGTCCCCAAGTGGCACGGGATGCTCTGCTCCGTGTGCCACTGGCCCCAGGTAACCCATAGCCCAGATTTCCACCTGTAACCATGGCAACCAGAGTTATGTCACAGAGGTGCCCGTCACCCCCTGGTATTAACACCCTGCTCTAGCCCAGGGATCCTCCACCAGCACAGCCCAGTACATCCCAGTCCCTCCCAGCACATCCCGTCACACCCCATAACACCACAGTCCATCCCATAACATCCCAGTCCATCCCAGCACATCCTAGCACACCCCATCACACTCCAGCATATCCCAGTCCCTCCCAGTCCCTCCCAGTCCATCCCAGCCCATCCCAGCACACCCCAGCACACTTCAACACACCCCAGTCCATCCCAGCCCATCCCAGCCCATCCCAATACACCCCAGCACATCCCAGCACATCCCAGCACATCCCAGCACATCCCAGCACATCCCAGCACATCCCAGTACACCCCAGTCCCTCCCATCACACCCCTGTGTGCAGGGGCAGCTCCAGGCAGGCCGGGTTGTGCAGCCCCAGCAGGGCAGGGCAGGGCTGGGCAGGGCAGGGCTCACCCCGTGCTTGGCCCGTGCCAGTTCCGTGCCAGGCTGGGCTGGGCAGGGCTGGCAGCGTGACGGGCCAGGCTCACACAGCACCTGGGGGTGCCAGGTAAGCACAGCAGGGACAGCTCCAGGCCGTGCCCGAACACATCCCTGCCCCTTGCACAGCCCAGCACTGAGAAATGCACATTAAATCACATTGAAAGGTGCAAAGTCCCCATTATTCCCTCTCCCGGTGCTCTGTGGGAGTGGAAGCTGGCTGGGAATGCTGTGGCAGGGAAAGCCAGGTAGGAAAAGTCTGGGAACACAAGGGAAATGCTCCATTGCAGCTTCAAGGCAAATATTTCTTTCTCGGAATACCAAGGTAATTCCTGCAGCACAAAGAACAAAAATTGACTTCTGTGAATGCCTGGAAGTGTCCAAGGCCAGGCTGGATGGGGCTTGGAGCAGCCTGGGATAGTGGAAGGTGTCCCTGCCATGGCAGGGGTGGAATGAGGTGAGTTTGAAAGCCCCCGACCCAAACCTTTCTCTAAATCCTTTTCACAGACCCAAGACAGGGAAATGCATCCCACTGGGATGGGAGGGGATGCTCAGAACGGTCCAGGGATGGTTCCAAGCTGGAGCTGCAGCCATTCCATGAGTGGAGAGGATGGAACCACCATTGCCAGCACAGCCCAGGGGGAAGGAAAGGCAGAAGTCGTGGGATGGAGACCACACAGGTTCATTTGGGAAGGACCTGCTGCCTCCTAATAACCTGAAATAAACCACCCAGTCCCCATCTCCATGGAAACTCCTTCCTTCAAAGCACTTCTGATGGAATTTACCTCCTGTTCCTGAATTCTCTGCTGGTTTGGAACAGACCAGCCAAGGAGGGAGGGCTGGACCGCAGGTGAGAATCCAGCTCTGCCTTTGGCAGCAGGGGACAGGCAGAGCTTCTGTCCCCTCCCAGGGGACACCTGTGGCACCTTCACTGCAAGAATATGGAAAGAAACCAACAGCCTTTGGTGTTCCTTGTCCTCCCTGGGCTCAGAGGAGCCACCCGGGCTGGGAGCACCTTCCAAGCCCTGCTGGGGCACAGAACTGTCCCAAAACCAAATATTCATGAAATATTCATGGACTGGAGCTGGAGCAGAGCACAGGACATGCCTTTAGTGGCTGATAACAGCGGTGAGAAGAGTTCTGCCAGCCAGGCCCTGTGTGAACGAGGGGAGGAAACTTAAGCCATGAAATATTAAAGTTCCAAAATTAAACCCTTGTTTACGTAACGACTGGGTCACTGCTGCTGTGGAACACGGCGGTTTGAACCAAAAAAGGCCCTTTCAGTGCTCTGCTGCTCTCTGCCAGGCCTCCCCCAGCCCGTCCCCACAGTTTCCTGCTGCTCATTGCCCTGGGCCCCGGCACTCGGCTCCTCACCCTGCTCATGGACACCTCACAGGGCTGGGAATCCTCCTTGGTGCCCTTCCTGCCCCAACCTGCCCTTCCCCTGTCCTCTCCCATGGAACAAATCCACCTGCGGGCCCCCAGCTGGGTTTGGTGCCTTTAACCCGCTCTAAAAATTGCATTTGGAGCTGTCCCTGCAGAGCCAGGGGCTGATGGTCCCGTGGGTCCCTTCCAGCTATGGACAGTCCATGATTCAATGGGTTTTTCTCTTTGAAATAAGGAATAAAAATGTCTGCAGCCTCGACAGAAAACAGTGAAACGTCCTTGCTGCTTCAGCCTGGCTAATTACAAATATAACAACACAGCAGACTAAAAATAAGATAATTTAAATGCAAAATATAAATAAAGAACTTTATGGAGCTTCCCCCCTGCAGTGTCTTTAAAAAGCCTTCTAAAAAGCCTTTTACCACATGGCTAAACACACCTTTATTTATTATTTTTAAAGAAAAGGGAATAAAAGAACTTAATCCAAACTAAATATTTAAGCAAACAGCAATTAACTAACAATGATGAATGGTAAACAGTCCTAGTCCCACGCTAGAGCGGGACTTTAAAGCTCGTTTATCTAAGCTAAAGCTGCTCAAGGGGAAAAGCAAGTTTATTGAGTAAACTTTGTCTCAGCCACCTTGCTATTAAAGCAGTCCACAAACAGAACCTGCATCATATATTCTGGGAGGAATAAAAAGAGCAGGAACATAAGAGCCCATGGCATGGAAGTTACAATGCTGTGTGGAGCAATTATCCCTAAATAGAAAACAGGGGAAATACGAAGCAGCTCCTTCCACCCCCGTGGCCTTGGGTTAAAATAGGAAGAATGAGAGACCCCTTAAATTCCACCTCATGTTCCCATTTGGCCTGGGGCTGTCAGTCCCACTTATCCACTGGGAAGGAGGGAGCCCGGGCAGAGCTGGCTAAGATTTTATCTACTTGGATCCTTTTATTTAAATGTAACACTATTATTATTATTATTATTATTATTATTATTATTATTATTATTATTAGAATGTAACATAATTATGATATAATTATCACCATTATTAGCATTATCACCATTATCATTATCATTATCATTATTGTTACTATTATTTCTAGTATTCCTATTTATTATTATTCCTATTGACATTATCATAATAATCATCAGCATTATCAGCATTATCATGATTTTATTATTATTATTCCTATTATTATTATTCCTATTCCTATTGACATTATCATAATAATCATAATCATCATTATCAGCACTATTATGATTTTATTATTATTATTCCTATTGTTATTATTCCTATTATTCCTATTTATTATTATTATTATTATTCCTATTGACATTCTCATAATAATCACCATCATTATCAGCATTATCATGGTTTTAAATTATCCTCATCCCTCTCCCACGCCAGTCCCTCCCCTCGGGCCCGGGGCTGTGGCGGGGGGGGGGGTCCCGGCTCCTGCGAGGAGCGGGGGGAAAAGCGGGGGGCAGGACGGGAGTGGGGGCGTGGGGTGAGCAGGGGATGGGCAGGGGATGGGCAGGGGGATGCGGGCAGGGGGATGCGGGCAGGGGATGCAGGGGATGGGCAGAGGATGGGCAGGGGATGGGCAGGGGGATGCAGGGGATGGGCAGGGGGATGCAGGCAGGGGATGCAGGGGATGTGCAGGGGATGTGCAGGGGGATGCAGGGGATGTGCAGGGGATGGGCAGGGGGATGCAGGCAGGGGATGCAGGGGATGTGCAGGGGATGTGCAGGGGGATGCAGGGGATGGGCAGGGGATGCAGGGGATGGGCAGGGGATGCAGGGGATGTGCAGGGGGATGCAGGGGATGTGCAGGGGGATGCAGGGGATGTGCAGGGGATGTGCAGGGGGATGCAGGCAGGGATGCGCACGGGAGGCGCGGGGATGCAGTGGGATGTGCGCAGGATGTGCGCAGGATGTGCGCAGGACGTGCACAGGGACGCAGCTCGATGTGCGCAGGATGTGCGCGGGATGTGCGCGGGGATGCAGCGGGGTGAGCGCGGGGATGCAGCGCGCTGTGAGCGCGGGTGCGGCGGGGCGAGCGCGGAGATCCAGCGCGACGTGCGCGGGATGTGCGCGGGGATGCAGCGCGACGTGCGCGGGATGTGCGCGGGGATGCAGCGCGACGTGCGCGGGATGAGCCCGGAGATCCAGCGCGACGTGCGCGCCATGTGCGCGGGGATAGAGCGGGACGTGCGCGGGATGTGCGCGGGCTGCGCTCGGGCCGTGCCCGGCCCCGATCCCCCCGCTCCCCGGCCTCGGTACTCGCCTGGCGCAGCATCCCCGGCCCGGGATCGCTCCCGGGGCGCCGCGGGGAGCCCGGGCCGAGCGGGGCCGGCGGAGGCGGCCGAGCCCCCCGAGCCCTCCTGGATCCCTCGCAGAGGCGGCGGCCGCGGGGCCAAGGTCACCCCGCATCGCCTCCAATTCCCAGGAGGCAGCGAAATGCCGGGAAAAGGCGCGGGGGGAGCGGGGCGGGAGTGAGGGGTCCGCTCCAGACCCCTCCGAGCCGCCTTCCCCCGGCATTTTCCTCTTCTTCCCCATCGGAGCTGGGATGTCCCATCCCAGGGGATGACGGCGCAGTCTTTGAGAATCCGGCACAAACAGACGCGGATCTATTTCGGGATTTAAAAAACAAAAACCAAAAACAGCAGCATGAGGAGAAATAAATGTCTGGCGGTCGGGTTTAAAGTGCTGCGTGTTCCTTGCAGGGCTGCAGCCCCTGCGTGCGCCGCTGCACAACTCCGGGACCACCTTCCAGGACCTCCACAGTCATTAGTGGGTATTATCCTCGCTCCCTCTTAGGAAGTGGTGGGATAATCATTCCCCATTTAACGCCTGGGAAACTTGGCACAGCACACATTAAGTGATTTGCTGACAGGCACACAAGAAAATTGCGCTAGTCAAGCGTTCTCCCAATTATGCCATCCTTGGAACTGCATAATTTCCCTGCGTGATTCCAAACACGGCTCAGACTCCCTGGGCAGGGCTTCATCTCTGCAGAGCGTGCAGCTCAAATCAGCGACGGGACCCGTCCGTGTCCCCCCGGGGGCTCCTCGGGGCACGGACCCACGCAGGTATAACCCGGGGGGCACACGAGAGCTCTGGGGAGGCGCGGGGACGCTCCGGTGCCCGGGGGAGCCGCACCAAGCCCCGCTCCGACCCTCCCCGAGCGCTGCCCCAGCTCCGCGCCCTGCGCAGAATTCCGCAGCCCAGTGGAAATTCCCCAGCGGTGCCAGCGCCGGGGCCTCCGGGGAGCGGCAAAACCTCCCTGGAGCCGGCCGGGAGCTGGGGCGCTGCCACCGTGGGGGCTTTGCGGCCGCCGGGGGGATCCTGTGGGGCAGGGGCCGGGGGGAGCTGGGGGTCCCGGGGAGCGGGGATGGGGAGCTGGGGAGCGGGGATGGGTCCCCTCGCCCTCTCCCGGGCTTCTCCGGGCTCCCCTGCCCTCATTGCGATGGGCTCTGCCCGCCCAGCCGCCTAATCTGCGCTAAGTGGGACTGCCGATGAACGCTGCGATAAATTTAGAAAGAAATCTTTGTGTGGGTCAGAGGAAAAACACGGCGGCGGGGGAAGCCGAGCTGCGGCGGCGCTCTCTGCCCTGCTGTGCTGTGCTGCGCTCTGCTGTGCCCTGCTGTGCTGTGCTGTGCTGTGTTCTCTGCCCTGCTGTGCTGTGCTGTGCTCTGTCTGCTCTGCTGTGCTGTGCTCTGTTCTGCTGTGCTCTGCCCTGCCCTGCTGTGCTGTGCTCTCCTCTCCTCTGCCCTGTTCTGCTGTGTCCTGCTCTGTGCCCTCTCCTCTCCTCTCCTCTCCTCTCCTCTCCTCTCCTCTCCTCTCCTCTCCTCTCCTCTCCTCTCCTCTCCTCTCCTCTCCTCTCCTCTCCTCTCCTCTCCTCTCCTCTCCTCTCCTCTCCTCTCCTCTCCTCTCCTCTCCTCTCCTCTCCTCTCCTCTCCTCTCCTCTCCTCTCCTCTCCTCTCCTCTCCTCTCCTCTCCTCTCCTCTCCTCTCCTCTCCTCTCCTCTCCGGGTTTCTCATCCTCGCTGCCCAAAGCCAGAGGCAGCCACAGGGCTCAGAGCTGGGCCAGACTCTGCTGGAGTTGGTGAGCCAAGGACGCCTCGGTTTCAATGAAAGAATTTTCAGTAATTTAGTGGGAAAGGAGCGGGAGGAGGCAGCGCTGTGCCCCGGCTCCGACCTCCACCTGACATTTCAGCCGGAGCCTCTTAAAGAGCAAGTTCGCCTTCCCCAGGATTGTTCATAAACACGAGCGGGGAAAGCAGTTGTTCATTCCTCTCTCCTGCCTGCCCTGCCTGCTCCTTCCCAATCGCTTTTGTTAATCTCTTAAATTGTTTTAAAACAACAACAACAACAAAATAATGGCATTAGCGCTGCGAAATCCTCCGTGAAATCACCAACACAGCCCCACGTCCCTCTCTAAAATCTGAACGTTCCAAACTGTTTTATCATTTGCTGGGAAATTGTATTGTACCAGCATGAGGAGAGGAAAAGAATTTTCTGAATGTATTTCCTTTAATAAGCTATTAAGGCCTTGTACTGCTAATTAAACTATTAATTAGACGTCTTATCGTTCCTAAACACGTTAGCATGTTGCCAAAGCAGCAATAAGCCTCTGGGGCAGGCAGGAGATAAGGAAAGAAGGAAGATGCAAACATGAAGATTAAAAAAAAAATATGAAAAAAAAAATCAAAAGAACCAGAAATAGCAAATAAATAGCTAAGAGTCAGAAGGGTGATGTATTCTTAATTTATAGGAAGAAAAAATAAGTAACTTGAGAATAAATTTCCCATGTAGGAGTCCTTGGGGCACCTGTGTCTTGCACAAGACAAAAAGGGACAGAACTTTTCAGACCTTCCTTTTTCTGCAGTCAGAGCAGTGGAACCAGGAATGGAACCCATCTTCCCCAACATCAGAAGCTGCCATTAGAAAATTAACAGAAAAAACTACTCAAAAATTGCGGGGTTTTCCTTCTCCAGAGGAAAAACACAAAGAATTTTCAATTGGAAGACCTTAACTCCAAGGAATTTCTGCATCTGGCTCCACGCTGACCCACAAACTGCACCCCTGGCTCACCCATCCTTGTCTTTTCAAGTCGAAAAGGAAAATTTCCAGCCTCCCAGCACCTGGGATGCTCTTTACAGGCTGTGAAGGTGTTTCCTCCTGCCCCTGCGGCCCCTCCAGGAATGAGGAGGGGTCGGGGACAGCTCTGCACCAGCCCAAGGTCCTGCTCCCACTTTGGGAGCTCAGTCCTGGCTCCCCCTGGCTTTGCCACACATGGAAATGTTTCCAGACCCCAATTCCTCAGTGTTTGCCTCCGACAGTCGATCTCAGGGGATGGATAATCTCGTTTATGTCTGTTACTACAAATCAAAACAGCAGCAAATTAAATGGATCTGAAGGCCAAGATTAAAGGCTCCAAACACATGGGAAGTGCCTGTGATGCAAGGAGCTCTAAATATAATTTGGTTTTTTTTTTAAGGGGGGATGGAGAGCCCTACACAGATGCTGTTCCTTTACCTGGAAAGCAAAGACAGGATCATGGACGAGTTAAAGCTGGAAAAGACCTCTAAGACCAAGTCCAACCACTAATCCAGTGCTGCCAGGCTCACCACCATGGTTGGAAAAGGAGGGAAAAAATCAAAATGAGCTTGATCATCTCCCTTTTCCAGCTCTGGGAAATGCCTTTGTGGCCAGCTGATGGTGGCTGAGGTTTAGGCTGGCCCCAGTGATGCTTTTCCAGCTTCTTGTCCCGAGGTGGGACACAGGATGTCACCAGAGCCCTTCTGTGCCCCTAAATCCCCTGGGTCCGACCAAAAATCCTGCATGGATGGAGCAGCAAAACTGGGAGAGCTCCCACAGAAAAAAAACAAACGCAGGATCTGACACTGAGCAAGAAGATGGGAAAGAAATTGATGTGAAACCCACATTGGAAATGGCACCGTGGATGGAATTTGAGCCCCAAGTTCCCCGTTCCTGGAATTTGAGCCCCAAGTCCCACTGTCGCCCTGAATTTTTTAAGATTTTCTAAACCTTCTGATGTTGACATTCTTGTAGCAAACTTTCTCACACACTTTCTGTAAATAAGTCATTGTTTTGCATTCCTTTAAGGAAGAGGAGAAATCTGATGGGCTGTTGGTTTGTCCAGTGTCGTTGGAGAGGTGGCACTGTCACCCTCCAATCCAGGGTCGCTTTTGGAAATCTGTAAATGTTGGAGTCAGAAATTAAATCTAAATCTATAAACCGAGTCTATAAATGTTGGAAATCTATAAATGTTGGAGTCAGAAATCAAAATTCCCCTTTTTTACCTCGAGAACGGCAGCGTGTGCACATTGTGTGTTCTGTGTCCTGCAGTGACATCCCTCTGCTCACACCATCATTCTTCTGTAATTCCTCGCTTTCTCTGAGCCGGGGCTGGATCGCAGCGCCGCGGGCCCTGCGCTGGGGCAGGGGCCGGATTTTGGGAGCAGCGAAATTGGGAGAGCTCCCACATTAAAGAGGAGATGCGGGATCTGCCAGGGCAGCGCCCGCTCGGAGCGCTCTGGCGGGGCGCAGCCAGCAGATAGCAGCATTGGAGCACGAATGAGCAAAAATGAGCAAAAATGCGCCCAAATGTGCCCAAAAGTGCCTCCCGTGCTGCCCCGAGCCCTGCGGGATGCTCGGGGCTCCCACCCCGCTCCGCTCTACAGAATGGGAAATCAGAGGCAGTAAAAAAGGCTGGAAAAAAAGGCTGGGAAAGGCTGGGAAAGGCTGGGAAAGGCTGCACTTCCAGCTCAGGAAGTTTTTTACCTGTGTGTAAACAGCCCGGCCAAAAAAGTTTTTCTTGTTATTCCTTCCTTATCTGCCCCCTTTCAATATGAGGCTCCTCAAGGTGAAGATTGGCTAAAGATTGTGTGGGAGCGGAGTGTGAGCTCACGAACCAGGCAGGAGCACTTGCACCAGCCTTGAACCACGTTTGTGGGCAATCAGGCTGCTCTTGGGAGCTGAAATGGGCTCAGACCCCCACAAAACGGCCCAAAAAAGCAGCTGTGAGCGAGGCTGCAGGGGATGGTGAGGGGAGGGGGCAAGGAAGGAATGCAAGGGGGCAGATAAGGAAGGAATAACAAGAAAAACCTTTTTGGCCGGGCCAGGGCTGTTTACACACAGGCAAAAAACTTCCTGAGCTGGAAGTGCAGCCTTTCCCAGCCTTTTTTTCCCAGCCTTTCCCAGCCTTTTTCCCCCAGCCTTTTCCAGCCTTTTCCGCTGGCTCAGCACCGGCCCCGCTCCCGGCATTTCCCCCAGGCTGCCTTCGGAGGAACCTTTTGTTTTGGCAGAGCGCTTGACTGTAACTTTATTGTCCCTGCCTGGCTGCAGGACATTCCCTGAGCTGTGAAAAGTGCACCTGACGTTTGATAGGATCTGCAGCTCCTCGTGCTAATTAGATAAACAATTACCAGGAGAAAAGCGCCGGCCCCAGCTCCCGGGCTCATCGAGCTTTCCCTGGGAAAGTAATTTGGTTTTCCTGCATCCAGCCGGGCTGCCTGAGGTCAGGATGCCCCGGAACACGAGCAGTGCCTGGGAGTGTCCCCCGAGGGGCTCCTGCTGTGCCCGTGCCAGGGAAGCGGCCCCGGGGAGGGTCAGGCATCCCAGAGAGGATCAGGAATCGGGCGAGATCCCCATTCCCAAAGCCCCTGCCTTCAGCGCAGCCCCAGCATCTCCACCAGAGAAGGCCCCAAGGGCTTCCCTGCGTTCTCCTGCAGATTTCTGGGGCAGGGAATGTTGCTGGTTACTGCAGAGTGAGGGAGCCCTTACAGAAGAATCCCAGGATCACTGAGGTGGGAAAATTCCCCCAGGATCTTCAGTCCCCAGCCCAGAGCACACAGTGCCACCTCCAGGTGACACCTCCAGGGATGGGGACCCCAAACCCCCCTGGGCAGCCCCTGCCAAGGCCTGGCCACCCTTTCCATGTTGAAATTCCTGCTGCTGTCCATGTTGAAATTCCTTCCCCACCCCTGGTGCAGCCTCCCTGCTGCCAGGTCAATCCCCAGCCCTGCACATCACTCTGGAGTCTCTTTTATTTTCCCAGGAATTAACCGGGTGTTTTAAACATCAAAAAAAACCCCCAAATCAAACAAAGGCGGTGTAAGAGCCTGCTGCACGTCACTCATCCTGCAGACGTTTTTCGGGGAGAGGAATGTGCTCAGGGCAAGCCAGAGCCTTTAGTCATGGGATTTCTGCGGGGAAAGAACCTCTCTGAGAGGCGTTGTCCTCCCACCCCGCTGGCAGCAGCCGGAGCCGCACATCCCGCGGGGATCAGCGGCTGCTGCTCCAAGGACACGACAGAGAAGCCGGCTTTTAGTACTTAATTGTTTTTCTTTTTCAACCGGGATTATTTACAATGAGATCTGGGAGAAGCAATTCACACCAAAGCAAACAGCCCGGAATATTTTAATTGTGTTTAAGCGACTCTTGCACCCACAAAAAAAAACAAAACAGCCCCAGGTGGTGATGGATGCTGCTGTCATTGCTTTGAGCACTGTACCAGAAAAAAACCCCTTCCCTCAGGTGTTCAGCACTGAGAGAAGGCTGGGATGAATTCACTCATGAGAGGGTAGATCAGCTCCAAGGGCCATTTTTGGGCTGATTTGAGGTGTGGAGGTCGCTGCTGGGGCTCGTGTTGAGCCACCTCCCCTCCTGGGCTGGCACAATCAGAGCTTTGGCTCCCTAAAAATGTGCTTGGGATGGGGAACAAACCTGCCCAGGGTCCCGCTGGGGTGCCAGGGGCTCGATGTGGCTCCAGCAGCGCTGCCCTCGGGAGCAGGGTCAGCACAGAGAGGGGCCAGGCCCGCACCTGCTCCTGCTCCTGCTTTGGAATTTCCCACAGGGAAACCCTGTTCTGGGGCAGACAGAGCAGCTCTGCCCTTTGCAGAGCCGGGCTTTGCCTCCCCCTCACCCCTCTGGGGGCCCTTGGGCACCTCTCCAGCCCCAATTCCTGCCCCAGGTGCCCACAGAGCCCCCCAGCCCTACCCAGCGTTCTCCATCTCACTCAGGGGATGAATTTGCTGGCCCTGCCTGTCACAGCCCCCAGCCCCTGGCAGGAGGAGGCTGGGGAAGGTTTTTTTCCTCTTAAAGAACCTTCAGGACACAGTCCTGGTAGGATCCAAAGAGAAAGAAGTTGGCATTTCAGCCTTCAATTCCATGTGGAAAGTTTTACGCACAGCTTCAGCAAATTCTGCTGGGGTAGGAAATAGTAGAGGAGCCCTAAAGACAGGGAGGGGTTAAATACCTGATGGTCTCAGAAGAGGAAGAAATCCTGCACTTAAACATAAAGATGAGATTATAAACAACTCTGTTAACCAAAACTATCTGAAACCTGAGAGGCTTTTGTCACTGCAATCCCAATTTAACTACTTTGGTCAGCCTTAACATATTGCTACCAGAAATCTGGGCTGCCTGGAGCCAAACTCTGCCTCTGCCTGAAAGCTGGGGAGGCCAAAGGCCACTGGCATTTGTCCTGATGTTCTTCTGACAACAAAAGCAGAGAACAGCTGCAAAAAATGTCCTGTGTGGTCAGCGGGAGGAGGAGGAGGAGGAGGAGGAGGAGAAGGAGCCGCTCTTTGGCAGCTCTGTCTCTCCGTGTGCTTTAGGCTGATTTTGGAGTCCTTCACGGGGACGATGATGATGCTGCAGAAGGTCTGCGGTGCCCGGTGTGTGCGCAGGGATCTCCTGCGCGCCCCGGGGCTCCGGGCGCGGTCACATCTCGGTGTCGGCGGGGCGGTGCTGCCGCCCCGAGTGCCCGTTCTGGGAGGACGCGTGGCCCGGCCCCTTCTCCTGGGTGCCCCCGTTCACCTTGGGCAGGTTTGGCTTCTCCTGCAGCTCGGCCGGCTCCTGGGAGGGCGACATCAGCATGGTGTTCCCCTGGCTGCCGTTCTCCGTGTCATAGGGGTCCTCAGCCTGGGGACACAAGGGACACGGTGAGACGGGGAAGGGGATGCTGGGCTGGGCTGGGGCTGCCCACGGTGCCCGGGCAGGAGGGACAGACAGACACAGGTCAGGGCACTGCTGGCAAGAAGGGGAGAAGAGGGCCTGAACCAATGTGGAGCAAGGAAAACACCCAGGAAGTGCAGTTTTTGGAAGTGCAGTTTTTGGAAGTGCAGTTTTTGGAAGTGCAGTTTTTGGAAGTGCAGTTTTTGGAAGTGCAGTTTTTCCTGCAGGGAACCTTCAAGAGAAGCTTTTTGCCAGGTTTTGCTGTTTTCCCCTAACCAGGTTTTGGAGCCACCCTCGCCTTGGGACAGAGCCTCTGCTGGCCAAGGAAAAAACACCATGGAAACGATGGAAATGGTCTCTTTGCCTCCCCCTTCCTCTGAAGTGCAGAGCTCGCTGCCAGCGGTGGCAGAAGTGCAGCTCTGCAGGGCTGGGTGCTGCTGTTGCTGTGAGGAGCAGGTGCCTCTGGAGGAGCCAGGGCCTCAAGAGGGTTCCCCAGGCGTTGTGCAGCCCCGGAATTGGCAATTCCCAGCTGGAATTCCCTCAGCAGCACCCAGCACTCTCCTGGCTGGACTGCACTCAGTCTCTTTTCCATGGCTGGGCTGGACACTCCTCACCTGGAGCTTGGCACTGCCTGGCACACAGTGCCACTGCTGCCAGCCCCAGGGACACCAGGCCTGTGACACAGCATTTCCCAGCTCTGTGCTCTGGGGAAATCCTTCCTGGCCAGGAAATGCCCCCATGGCCTCCCAGCACACAGCTGCTCACGCTGGGCAGGGGTGGGGAAATCGTGGCCCAGCCTCACTTTACACAGGGTCACGTCCCCAAAAATCACTGGAAGGGAGGAGTCCTCAGGGCCAGCCTGCCTGGGAAGGGGAGAATGGAAATAGGAAATTTCTGCCTCTTTCTTTCTTGATATGTTTTATTACCGTGGCTGGTGGGGAGACACTGCCTTTATTACAGCACGGGTACAGACACGGGACTGACACAGGGAACGGGAATTTGGGGGCAGCACTGGTAATGACAGACTCGTGAGGTTTCGGGGGCTCTGGAGGGGTCCTGCTGGATGAGCTCTGACTGCTGAGCAAAAAGAGGCCTTAGACCTGTTGGGAGTGTGGCAAAGGGGCAGCGCTGCTGCTGCAGGAGCTGATCTGGGGAGAGGACGGAGCTTCCCCCTCCCTCTGTGCAACGCCCCTGCCCTGCCCAGGCTGGGAGCGCTGGGGGGGTGAGCTCAGAGCCGCAGGGGCGGGGATGGCCCCGGGTGCCCCCGGGCTCCCCTCTAGGCGCGGCTGTGCCACCTGTAAGCACTGACCAGCCTCTGTCCCGCGGGGCTCCAGCTGCGCCGCCGCATCAGGAGACACCCGGCCAGCCCCAGCAGCGCCAGCAGCAGCCCCGAGGTCACCAGCGCGATCAGCGTCCTCTGCGGAGAGTCCCGCCGGCCCCTCGGGCTCTGCTTCTTCAGGGATTCTATTCCAAACTGCGAAAAAAAACACCAAAAAAAAAACAACACCAAAGGGAGCCGCGAGTGGGACAAACAGGAAACGTTTGCATCTGCTGCTCAGGCTTCAAACAATGCTGCTGTCACCTCCTTGGGGAGCTCTGCTGCCCCAGCCCTGCCCCAGCCCTGGCTGCCCTCAAAGGCTCCTTCCCAGCCTGGAGTCTCTTGTGGCACTGGGAATTTTGGCCTCTGGAGCACACCCGGGGTCTGGAGCACACCGGGGGTTTGGAGCACACCCAGGGTTTGGAGCACCTGGCTGAGATCTCTCTGATCACTGCAGCTCTGCTGCCCCTGCCCCAGCCCTCACAGGCTCCTTCCAGCCTGGGTCTCCTGTGGCACAGGGAATTTTGGCCTCTGGAGCACACCCAGGGTCTGGAGGACCTGGCTGAGATCTCTCTGATCACTGCAGCTCTGCTGCCCCTGCCCTGGCTGCCCTCAAAGGCTCCTTCCAGCCTGGGTCTCCTGTGGCACAGGGAATTTTGGCCTCTGGAGCACACCCAGGGTCTGGAGCACCTGGCTGAGATCTCTCAGCTCTGCTGTTCATACCCTGGGATACACCTGGGGCTCAGCCCCAGCCAGTGGCAGCCTCAGGGGAGGGCTGGAGGAGGAATTCATGAATGCCAGCCTGGGCTTTGGGGAAGCTGGGTGCCAATTGCATCCTGAGAGTTACTGCTGGGTCTGACCTCTGCTGGGGAACACTTCAGCATTCACAGAGCCATGGCACGGCTTCTGCTGGTTCCCTTGTGCTGCATCCCTGGTGGTTGGCTCCAAACACAGAATCCCAGGCTGGTTTGGACCTTAAAAATCATCCAGTGCCACCTCTGCCATGGGCAGGGACACCTTCCACTGCCCCAGGGGGCTCCAACCCTGTCCAGCCTGGCCTTGGACGCCTGCAGGGAGTCTCAGCATGTCCCCAGCCTCAGCTGACCAGCTACAGCTCTCATCCACCTGGCCGGGCACTTTTTGCAGCCAAATTTGCTTCAGGGATTTACCTTTTCCCAGTGGGACTTTGGGAGCGTGTTCAGAAGTTTGTCAGGATCTGTGAGATTTAAAACAGGAGAGCACATCCCACACGTTACACACATTCAATGTTCACCACACATGTTACACACATTAAATATGCTCATCACACACATTACATTAACATTAAATATGTTAATCACACGTTACACACATTAAATGTTAATCACATACCTTACACACATTAGATATGATCATCACACACATTACACACATTAAATATGTTCATCACACACGTTACACACATTAAACATGTTCATCACACATGTTACACGCATTAAATGTTAATCAGATACCTTACACACATTAAATATGTTCATCACACACATTACACACATTAAATGTTCATCCCACATGTTACACACATTAGATATGATCATCCCACACGTTACACACATTAGATATGATCATCACACACGTTACACGCATTAAACATGTTGATCCCACACGTTACACACACTGAATGTTCATCACACACATTAGACACATTAAATATGTTCATCACACACATTACACACATTAAATGTTCATCCCACACATTACACACATTAGATATGATCATCACACACGTTACACGCATTAGATATGATCATCACACACGTTACACACATTAAACATGTTGATCCCACACGTTACACACATTAAATGTTAATCACATACCTTACACACATTAGATATGATCATCCCACACGTTACACACATTAGATATGATCATCACACACGTTACACACATTAAACATGTTGATCCCACACGTTACACACACTGAATGTTCATCACACACCTTCCGCACACATTCCAGACACGAATCCCGCACTCTGCAGCTCAGGGCACACCAAGGAGCCTGGCTGGGCACAGAGGATGCTCCTGGGGGCAGTTCCACAGCTCCAGGGGTGCAGCAGGGCCCCAGCAGAAGGAGCAGAATTGCAGGGAGGTTTCTCCTCCCCTCCCAGCCCTGTCCCAGTGCCCACACCACGATCTGGGGATCCCGGGCAGGGAATGCCCTCACTGACCTTTCTCTCCTTCGAGGATGAGGAGCAAACAGTCTCTGTCCAGGCTGGATGGAGCGAGTTGGATCTTGCAGGGGGACTCCGCGCTGTGGGTTCTGTTTTCACACAGTGCTTGCCATAAATCCAACCCCTTCCTCTCCAAAAAGCGTTCCTGACAAATTTTCAGAAAGAGCAGCCATTAATCCAAGCAAACTGAGCAATTCTCTGCCTCGGCCACGCTGGTGGAGGTGTTGTGCTTTCCCATTTGAATTTTGGTGCCCTGCAAAGCTGCTCTGGGTGCCAGACCCTCCCCTCCCACCCCAGCACTGCCCAGAGCCCCAACACCTTGGGGCTGGAGGTGCTCATTTCTCATGTCTTAGCTTAATGAGAATAAATTAAATGGAGGTATTACTAGCAACTCCTGAAAATGGCATTTAAACAAAGCTAAATTTAGGCTCTGAATCGCATGGCAAGTCTCCCCAGTTTTTGGGCTGGAACAACTGAAGAGCTCTATTGTTTCAGAGTCCCAGGCAGGGGCTGGGAAAGGAGGGAAATAACAAAGAAGCATTGAGCCTTCCTGTTTAGGAAATGTCTTCAATGTTTTTGCTAGGTTGCTGATCAAAGGCAAGGTAAAAAACCACATTTCTCACATTTTAGAGCTGCACTGACTCTGGGGGGGAAGAGGAAGAGGAGTGAGGAGCTGCAGCCTTTGTGGGCTGGTTTCTGGATCAGACAGGATGAGATTTCTCCTTGGGGATATTTTCAGACGCGGCCAAGTTCACAGACAGAGCCCAGCTTTGCCAAACCCTGCTGAGCCCCTCTGTGCCCACCCCAGAGACAGAGACAGCTCCACTGAGCCCTGCCCTGGGCTGGATCCCACCCTGTCCTGTCCTGTCCTGTCCTGTCCTGCTCTGTGCCCTCCTCCTCTCCCAGAGCTGCCCCAGGACCATCCCCAGGTCCCTCCATCCTCTGAAAGTGGAAATCCAGCAACTCCTCCACGGGAGAACAACAAACAAATCATTTTCAGCTGTTTCTATAGAGCTTGGCTCGGGGGGGAGGAAGGCCAAGATGGAACAAGAGACCCAAGTGTGTATTTTCCTTTCTGTGCTGTGGAAAGAACTCATCGGAGTGTCAGAGTTTCCCTTTGCAATTAGCAGCTCCCGGTGCCAGCTGATTGCTCATTTGCCTCGGGAAAGGCCAGGGGGAGAGAGGGACACAGGTCCTGCCAGGACTGCTCTCCTCTGGCTCCCAGGTCCTGCCAGTGAGACGGGAACTTTAAGGGATTTAGAGATTTTAAAGGAGCTAAGATTTTAGTTAGAGATAAGCTTGATTTGAGTTAATTAAAATAAATGGGTAGGCCTTGATGAAGTTAAGAGTTAGTAGTTAACTAATAATTGATTGCTTGTCAAGGCAATGTTTGGTTAGCTGGGTTTATCATGAAGAATATAGAAACTGATAAATGGCTTTTAGGAACATAAGACAATTGCAGGGCTCCTCTGTTCTGAAACCAGTTGAAGATGGGGAATGGGAGTTCTACCAATGGGTTCATTTGTCAGATTTGCATTGAAAAGATAGAAAGGTCAGAATGAGGAAGACTTCATTTACTTCCTCATTTTGGGACCCCTCCCCATGAAAGGGACCAGTGACCCATTTCAAGGGACAAACTGTGCATGCTCAATGGCTTTTGAACTAATTACCATGCTTAATGGCTTTTGAGCTAATTACCATGGGAAGTGGGGAATGGGATGTACCAGAGTTATGAATATGGATTTGTATTTTGGGTATTCCATACTTGTAGAGATAAAGGGACTCTGTAATCACCTGTAAATCACTGTGTGTATCTGGGAGCTATCCCACAATAAACATCCACATTCTAACTTCAAACTGTTTGAGAGTTTTTGGATACTGGTACCAGATCAATATCCATATTAGGACTGGGATGTACCAAAGTCATCACAATGTATTTGCATTTTGGGTATTCAATACAATTCAATAAAAGGACTCTGTAATCACCTGTAAATTGTGCTGTGTATTTGGGAGCTATCCCACAATAAACACTTTCTAGCTTTAAACTGTCAGAGAGTTTTTGTCCATCACTGTTGGATATCGGTACTAGACCAATTGGATATCGGTACTAGATCAATATTTATTTTTAATAAATCACCAGGAGCTGCCTGCTCCCACCTGGGGCTGGGGAGGGCTCTGCTGAGGGACAGCCCTGCATTGGAGGGGCTGGGCAGCTGGCCTGCAGCAAAGCTGACTTAATAAAAGAAATAACAATTGGTGATTTTCCAGTGTATCCATAGCAAGGAAGAAGACAGGGCTGTCAGCATGGGAACAGATTAGAAAAAATACATGAAGATCTTTGTAAGCTTGACTACGTGCATGAGTAGATGTGTATATGTGCCTTATTCAATTTCTGTAAAACTTTTGCCAATCATACTGACGTTAATTTCTTTGCACCAGCGAATATCCAGTGGGAGAGGTCTTTTCCCCCCCAGCCCATCAGACCCCCCTGTGCTGTTACAAATTCCCCATTTTTGGTGCTCAAGGCCAAGGACGGTCACAGAGAGCCTGGGGTTCCCTTGGGAGCTGCTGGGGACACTGAGCAGCTCCTTGCAATGCCCTGTTTTCTTTCCTAGGGCACTTGGCAAGACAAAAAAAGGCACTTTTGTTTCCAACAGGGAAGAGGAAGAAGAAGAACAAAGGCAGCTTCCTGTTGGCCACGGTGGGAGATGCTTTAGAAGCCGAGCTGACCCCAGAGCGCAAAGGAAAAGGGAGAATTTGTGCAGCTGCGAGGCCGCGTTTCCCCTGGAGCCCTCTGGGGCTGAGAGCAGCCGCTCCTGCCCCAGCCCAGGGTGATTTCTGGAGCCCCCCACCCCAAAGAGCCCCCGTGGGCTGTGGGTGACCCCAGGGACACTCACGCAGGTGCTGGACTCGTTGAGCCGCAGGCAGACGGCCCCGGCGGGGTCCCCCTGGTCCCCGGCGCTGCGGCAGCTGATGCCAGGCTGGAAGGAGAGCACAGGGGGTCAGAGCCCTGCGGTGCCAGCCCCCAGCCCGGCCTCCCCGCAGCCCCGGCCTCACCTGGGCGGCGGCCCCGGCCGTGGGCAGCGCGCTGGTGGCGGCGGGGCCGGCGGGAGGCGCCGAGGAGGCCGCAGGGCTGGGGCTGCCCGGGCCTTGCGCGCTGTCCCCGGGCTGGGTCGGGGCGCTCCGGCTCGTGGGGACCCCCGCGCTGCCCCGGGGCCCCGGGGAGGAGCCTGGCGGGGATGTGGGGGCCGGGCTGGGCTGGGGGCTCGTGTTCAGCTGCCCAAGGAGCTCTGGGGATGTCCCGGTGGCGCCGGAGCTGGCCGTGGCTGCAGCTTGGAGGAAATGCAGAGAGAAGGGCTCAGGAGGAGCCCTGTGAGCTCGGCGTGTGACACAACATTGGTCTGTCAGAGCCAGCAGCAGCACCAGGAGCCTTTGGCTTGCTAGGAAAAGCTCATTAGCCCTGGTTCTGCTAATTCTGCCTCATTACACACACCCACAGCTGGGGGAGGGACAGTGGGCTCATTTCTGGGTGACACCAGCCACCCCCCAGCATCACCCCCAGCTCCTCCCCGGCCCGAGGCTTCCAGAGGAGCCTCTGATCCCAAACAGCACCAGGGAAAGGCTCCCTGCATCCTCCCATCCCTCCTGAGCCCTCCAGAGCCTGAGCTGGGCCTCCCATCTTGGAACCCCAGACTGGTTTGGGTTGAGGGGACCCAAAGCCCACCCAGTGTCCCCCCTGCCATGGCAGGGACCCCTCCCACTGTCCCAGGTGCTCCCAGCCCCATCCAGCCTGGCCTTGGGCACTGCCAGGGATCCAGGGGCAGCCCCAGCTGCTCTGGGCACCTGTGCCAGGACCCCTCACCCTCACAGGGAACAATTCCTGCCCAAAATCTGATTTAAAGCTCCCTCCTCCCGCTTAGAGCCATCCCCCCTTGTCCTCTCCTCCCCAAGGGACTCCTACAGGTGGCTCTCCCAGTGTGTGTGGAGAGATCAACGTCCCTGAGCCCTTTGCTCTGACCAGGATGGGGCTCAGCTGCCTGGGGGGGTGTCCCCAGGAGGGATTTCTGGATGGAGTTGAACCTTGTGAGCACGCTCAGCCTCCTTTGCCGAGGGCACAGCCCACGCCTTAACGAGCACGGGCACTCAATAAATCTGATTATGGCCACAGAGGCTGCCGGGAATGACAGGGGAGCAAAGGCAGAGGTTACCAGAGGTTGGCTGGGTGCTGCTGGCGTCCCCTGTGGCCGTGCTGGCAGCGGTGGCGGCGCTGTCCCCCGCTGTCCCGCTGCTGCTGTCCCCTCCTGTGGGGCTGGGGGTGGCCGTGGTGCTCCCAGCAGTGCAGCCTGGGGGAAGAGAAGCTCTCAGGGGCTGCTGAGCCCCTGGGGGGGAGCAGGAAAGGTTCAGCTGCTCTCCCAAATTCGCCTTTTCTTGCCCCAAGAAAAAAAACCCTTGGGGCACATCTGGGAGAGGCTCAGGGGGGAAACTTTTCATCCCGGGGAGCAGCAGAGCCTGGTGCAGCCCTCGAGGGGCTCCAGGGCTCTCAGAGGAGGAGGAGGAGAAGCTCCACCCTCACCCCAGCCCAGCCCCAGCTCGCTGGTGGATGCACAAAGCTCTGGATTTCAGAGCAGTTTGGGTTTATAATCCTGGGAGGGAAGAATCAAGCCTTGGAAGAGATCACTGGTGTGCCTCAGGATAGATAAGTTGGATTTACAGTTGCAGGCACAGTCTCAAAGTAAATAGAAACATTCCCACTGGCTTGGGATCAGCCCTGACTCATGAGCAGAAACATCTTTGGAGGTAAAGCAGAATGTTTGGAGAGTGGCTTGCTGTTCTAACCTAAAGTTTATATATTGCTTCCTGCTGCCTTACAGAGATGACACTTCCAGCTTTTCCTTCTGAAATGAGCTGTGTGAGTCAATGAAAATGCATTTCTCCCCATTCCTCAGCTTCTCTCCCTAGGATCTATTCCCACTTTTAGCAAACAGCTCCAGTCTCTACCCCAGGGCTCTTGCTGTTTGAGATTCTCATCCAGGCACTAAAGAGAAAATCATACAGAATGTGTTGTTTCATTTGTAGCTGTGCCCAGGGGAGCCCCAGCTCCAAGAAAAGTTACTTCATCCTCCCAAACCACCCTGAGAGATGGAGCAGCTCTGGCAGGTCCTGGGCAGGATCTGCTCCAGGGAACATCCCTGGGCACTGGGAGCTGGGCATGGGCCTGGCAGGGGCTGCTCTTGGCTGGGTCAGCTCCACAGAGCCTGGATGGGCTTGGGAGGAGCAAAGCCTGAGGCACCAGGGTTGGTTTTGGCTGTGGGTGGCAGGGGCAGAGCTGCTCTGCTGGTCCTGCTGGGGGAGGCTGGGCCAGAGGGGAAATGGGGGGCTCAGACTGGTCCTGTGGGGCTGCCCACACTGGTGCTGCCCATCCTGTCCATCCTGTCCTATCCTGATCCATCCTATCCATCCTGTCCTATCCTGATCCATCCTATCCATCCTGACCCATCCTATCCATCCTGTCCTATCCTGATCCATCCTATCCATCCTGTCCTATCCATCCTGACCCATCCTATCCATCCTATCCATCCTATCCTATCCTGATCCATCCTATCCATCCTGACCCATCCTATCCATCCTGTCCTATCCTGATCCATCCTATCCATCCTGACCCATCCTATCCATCCTATCCTATCCTGATCCATCCTATCCATCCTGTCCTATCCATCCTGACCCATTCTATCCATCTTATCCATCCCATCCTATCCATCCTGATCCATCCTATCCTATCCATTCTATCAATCCCATCCCATCCCTCCCACCCCTCCTGGGCTGCAGCTGCTCTGGGGGCCCTGCTGAGGCTCAGTGCAGGTGTCTGGAGCTGCAGTTTGGGTTCTGGCACAGCTTTCAGCTCAGGGGGAGAAGTTCCTCCTTCTCCAAGGCAGCTCAGTTCCAGCTGGTTAAGTCACTGAGTTTTCCTGCTGACTTTTAGCAAATGAAAAGCAGGAGGCAGGACTGGTGCCCAGAGCAAGGAGCAGCCCAGAGGCAGGGCCAGGCTTTGGGCAGAGCCAGGCTCTAGGCAGGGCCAGGCTTTAGGCACAGCTCTGTTAGGCTCAGCTCAATTCCCACATCCCCAGAACAACGCAGCCCTGCCGTGACCTCCCCGAGTGCCAGAGCCACCCAAACACCTCTGACCCCTCCAGATGTTTGCAGAGCACCCCAGGTACTCCTCACCAAAGCCTTTTCAGCACTGAATATTGGACTGGAGGCCTGGCTGCTGCTCAGTGTGGTTTGGGAGACGAGCTGTCACTTTGGATTTCTTTTTCTTGCCTTTCTTGGAGCATGTGCAGGAGCTTTTCCACAAAACATGGGTCAGGGGTTTTTATGAAATCTTTGGGCTCGTGAGATAAATAATGATCCAGATGTGGGCTGGATAATCCACGTGGTGCTCAGCTAAAGAGGGTTATTTATTGCACCATGCATTTTTAATGGCTTTATTAAACTTTGTCAGTTTGTTAGGATTGAGGGTTTAGAGTTTAAGCCAAGCTATTTATTAACCTGGGAGAAATCTTCACCTGGCAATGCAAGCACGTGCAGGAGCAAAACCATGCAGAGATGGGAAAGAAAATTGCACTTCCCAGCACCCATTGTGTTCACCCACCCAGGGTTTAAAAAGTAAATGATTTTTTAAAGATATTTTAATAATGGGGCTCAGGAAGGATCTTCGATTGAATAAAGAAAAGGCAACAATACAAATGTTAAACTTGCTCCAAGACTCATCCCTGAGCACTCAGTCAGGGCCACAAAAAAACTCTGCAGTGGCAAAGGTTCAGGAAAGAGGAGGGAAGTTTCCATCACTGGATCCCAATCCTGACCCACAGCAAACAGCACTGAGGGAGCTGAATCCCACTGGGAATCTCTGGGCAGGACCTGCACCCCCTGAGCTGATCCTGCCTCAGATCTCCTGGTTCACCTCTGGCAAAGCCCCTGCTCTGCCTTGGGCTCCTTGGGCTCCTTGGGCACACACAGAGCCCTGGGCCAGGGGAGCTCCTCAGCTCTGCCTTTAACAGAGTTCATTGGAATAAACAGAGGTTGTTCCCCAGCTCTGCCTTTAACAGAGTTCATTGGAATAAACAGAGGTTGTTCCCCAGCTCTGGGATGGGATGCCCTGAGCTGGCACAAGGGCACTGCTGGTCCAGGGCTGCAGAGGAGGGTGAGGAACCGTGGGATGAAGAACAGGAGGGTAAAGGGACCATGGGAGGCAGGAGAGGAGGGTAAATGGAGCTGTGGGATGCAGGAGAGGAGCTCTGGAGCTGTGGGATGCAGGAGAGGAGGGTAAATGGAGCTCTGGGATGCAAGAGAGGAGGGTAAATGGAGCTGTGGGATGCAGGTGAGGAGCTCTGGAGCTGTGGGATGCAGGAGAGGAGCTCTGGAGCTCTGGGATGCAGGAGAGGAGCTCTGGAGCTGCGGGATGCAGGAGAGGAGGTAAATGGAGCTCTGGGATGCAGGAGAGGAGCTCTGGGCAGGGATGCAGGAGAGGAGCTCTGGAGCTGTGGGATGCAGGAGAGGAGGGTAAATGGAGCTCTGAGGATGCAGGTGGGGAGCTCTGGAGCTGTGGGATGCAGGAGAGGAGCTCTGGAGCTGTGGGATGCAGGAGAGGAGGTAAATGGAGCTGTGGGATGCAGGAGAGGAGCTCTGGAGCTGCGGGATGCAGGAGAGGAGCTCTGGGCAGGGATGCAGAGCCCTGGGGCCGGAGCCAGCCCCGGCTCCCCCCCAGCCCCTCCAGGCGCTCCAGCCGGCATTACTCACGCTGCCTTTGCAGCTCTCAGCCATGTGGCAGGAATTCAAGCGGGTGGAGCCCTCTTCCCTCTGGAAATATCTGATAAAAATCCCTGCCCTCCCCCTTTTCCTTGGCCCAGACAGGATGTGGGTGTGGGGCCGGGGCCGGGGGGCCGGGGGAGCCCCCCGAGCTGCCCCACCAAGGCCCAGCTGCTGCTCCCAGCCTTTCCTTGGGGCTGGGGCCTCTCGGGCAGCCCAGCACCTTCCCGGGGTTGGGATTTCTCCTGGCTGGAGCAGCAGCCTCTGAAGGATGTTAAACTCGAGCAGCTGGAAGCTTTAAAGTCTCTTTTTCCTTTCCTGATGTTCAGAACTTTCATAAGCGTTGCAGAAGGAGTGGAGGAAAGAAAGGACGTGTGAAAATGGCAAGAAAAGAGGTTTTTTCTAAAAATCAGGATTGGCAGAGAGGAATGAAAAACATTTAAAGAAGAAAGATGAAAGGTTAAGTGAAAGAATAAAGTGTTTTTATTAGGTACAAATACAACCCAGGCTCCCTGTTCCATGCTCACTCTGAGACAAGCGCAGGACAGCTCTCCACGTGCTTTATCCATCCCCATCCAACACAAGCTGCTCACAGCATCCTCCCAGGGGCTTGGGAGGGTCTGGGAACTGCAGCCCACTCTGCAGAGCAGGGGTGGCTGCAATCCCTTCCTTGGAACCCGGGAGGAACCCCAAAGGACCAGGCAGAAGGAGCAGTTCCAGGGATTTGGGCTTTCCCGGGGGATTTTCGCCCGTGGGGTTGGATCCCAGAACCCAAACCCCATCCTCCCCACAGCACAACCCCACACCGCACCCGCAGGGCTCCTGCCCCTGTCCCAGGGTGGGTTTTTCCTACAAAACTCGTGCCTTTAGCTGGAGGAGCCCTGGGAGCCGCTCCCACCCTCAGCAGCGCTGCCAGGAGCGGCTCCAGCCCAAAGCCGGAGCTGGGATTTCCAGGGCAGCTGCACAGCCTTGGATGGAGCCTCTGGGCCTCCCCACGGAGCTGAGGAACCAGCAGAGCCCCAGGGATGGTTTTTCCCAGCAGCTACACCGAGGAGGAGCCAACCTCCTCCACCTTGCAGGCAGGAAAATCCTGCAGGAGCGACGGGCAGGGGCTGTGCGGGCACATTTTGCACAAAGCGTTAAAGCCCCTGCCGCCCACGAGCTTTGTCCTTCCAAAATCCGAGCTTTTTATCACTTTTCCATCACTTTTGTTTTGTACTCAAGGTTTGGAACTGGAGGTTTGAAGCTCAAGCTTTGCCTCACACCTTTGTCTCACACCCTCGCTCGGTTCAGCCCAACCACACAGCCCTGAATGTCATTTTTCTCACATAAAACTGGGATTCTTTTTCAATTCCTTTCAAATTGACACAGACTGGAGGGTCAGCCAGCGGCTCAGGTGAGCAATTTACCTGGGCAGCCAGGGGAACATGAAAGGAGCTCTGTGAAACAGGAGAACAAAACCCAGTGAATTCCTGCAATAGATCTCCTCGCTCCCATTCGTGTGAGTAAGAAAAAATCACATTTGAGGAGACACCCGCAGGCTGCTGGCTCCTGTCCCAGCACACCAGGCAACACACAGAGTGCTGCTTCACTTTTTTAGTCCTTTTTTATTACCTCATGGCTGTTGGGTTTGGGACAAAAATGATAATATTTCCCTAAAACACAACCCTTTTAAAAGCAGCACCTAGAGAAAATCTCGGTGCTGTTATTCATCGCTTCGCATGATGAATATTTGAAGAGCTGCAATAGGAGATTTTAATATTTATGGGGACTCATTTGATTTTCAGCAAATGTTTAGTTCCAACCACAAAACAGCAGCGTGGCTCATTTACACCAGAGCAGGCTGAGAGACAGCTTGAACTGTGGCTGCACCCTGCCTGTGCGCAGGGATCACTCCTCGTGCTGCCCGGGAGTTTGTGGGCAGCTCCATCCCCATTCCTGTCCCTTTCTGAGGTTTTGGGGTGGCCCTGGACCCCGAACTCCTGGAGAAGCATCTTCCCCCCAGCTGCTGCTCCCAGGAGCTGCCCCACGCCCCGTCCCTGCTGCCACCCAGGCTTGGGGACATCAGTACTCACCAGCCAGCTCCAGCAGGCAGAGGATGCAGAGGAGCTGCCCCCACTTCATGGCTGTGGGAATTCCCAAAGCCTTTCCCTGCTCCGGGGCAGCTCCCGGGCTGCTCAGTCCCGCAGCAGCTCTGAGCTCATGCAGCTTGGTTGGAGTTCAAGCCTTTGAGATCACTCAAAGCTGCTGGGGTGGGTTTCTCTTCAGGGGTTGTGCTTGTGCTTCAGGACGGCGAGGTGGAGTTTCTGGGCTTTGATTTCCCAGTTTTTATATAGTTCGTGGCAACCTCACTATCACTTAGGTAATTTTCTCCTCCCTGCTTTCCTGCCAGCAGCTTCAAAACAAACAAAAGATCAGCCCTCTCCCCAGCAAAGGATCCCAAAGGCTGCCTGGGATTAACTCTTTCCTGAGAGCTGCTGCTTTCCTGTCCAAGGAGGGCAGGGACACAGCCTGGTGCAGCTGGATGCAGGGACTGCAGCCCAGCCTGCAGCTGAGCTCCTTCAGAGCAAAGCAAACACAGCCCGAGGAGAGCAGGGATGTGGGGAAACCCAGATCCAGCCCAGAGAGCCCCAAGCCTGGTCCTGGCACTGTGGCAAACAGGGGAGCGCTGAAAATGGGCTTCAGAATCAGAGATTTCTCAGCAAATTAAGCAGGGAACTCAAGGATGTGAAATCACCGCTGACCTGAGCAGGAGTGACTCCATTAGCTCCACTAAATTGACTCCAGTCAAACAGGGAGCACAAACCAGATGGGTTAGAGAGGGTCTGGGGCAGGGAAAAGCCTGCAGGCAAGAGCTTTGGCACGGAACCTGGAGCAGGAGCAGGATGGGAGAGCAGGAGCCTCCCTGGGCTCCTTGGGGATGCTTTGTGGGAGCCCTGGCTGCAGTTTTATTTCCCAGGGGGCAAACCTGGCTCTGGTTCTGCCCTGCAGGCACACGCGGGAGCAGCTCAGGAAGGGCAGGATGAGGGAGGGATGCTCTGTGTCCTCACAGGGGTGTCCATGCCTGCAATGCTCCAGGCCAGGCTGGATGAGATTTGGAGCAGCCTGGGACAGGGGAAGGTGGAGTGAGAGGATCCTGAATCACCCTTCCAACCCAAACCAGCCTGGGAGTCAAATTATGGCCTTTGGGTATAACAAAAAATGAGAGATGAACGCTTGGGAAACTCAGCTCCAGTTCAGTATTAATTCCATCTTTTCTTTTATAGCTGGATGATGAGGTGACTAAAGGAGTCATTGGGAACAGGAAATTGAAAAATGAGGTGGACAGGAAAGAAAGCTGTGGAAAGAAGGATGAGGAAGCTCTTACTCAATGTTTTTTTCTTTTCCTGGATGCTCCTGAACACTTCTACAGTCACAGAATCGCAGAAACTGCTCTGGGTTTTAAGGGACCCAAAAACTCACTGCAAACCCCTGGCATGAGCAGGAATGGCCATCATTTGGCTACAGCCAGAAAAGGATTAAAAAACACACACACACAAAAAGAACAGGATGGTGTTACCTACAAAGAAATCCCCAAATGGTATTTCCACATTTATTGTAGGACAAAATTCCAGTAGCTTTTGCTTTTAGAACAGTACAGGAGCTGGATGTGATGATGTTTAAATGTCCCTTCCAACTCAAAGCCTTCTCTGGTTCTGTGGCAGGAAAATGTTTCTTGGAAGGAAACATCTGTGGCTCAGCAAAGGGCTCCAAAATCTATATAAAGATTTCTGTTACGTTCAGTAATCCATTACTGACTGACAGGGACACACAGCTCTAGGAAAGGCCAAAATATCCAGGTAAAATGTGGTCTAAAAGCTGAGTGTGGGCACAGCCCTGCTGACTCCAGCAGCTCCCACCAAGAATTTTCCCTTTTTTCCCCTTTTTCCTCCCTCAAACACACACGCACACATTGGGAAGCGCCTGACTCAGTGTGTAACCAGGTTTTACATTGCATGTCAGCCCAGAAAATGAATTCAGAGATGAGATGTGAAAGGCAGAGTGAGACAAGAGTCTTATTTAAATAACAGATATGTTTTTGTCTATGGAAGTGAGAATTTCGGTTGAATAACATGACTGAAAATCAGAGTGATGGATCCACAGAGGAGCTTGGGTTGGAAAGGACATAAAAGACATAAAAGAGACCATTCCACTGCACCCTGCTGGGGACAGGGACACTTTCCACTTTATCCAGGCTGCTCCTGGATAAAGAAACCAACAGGATGATCCAGGTTTGGCTGCTGGGTCTGTTTCACCTTTCAAAAGCAGCCCAGAAATAGAGAGCTGGACTAAAAATAGGCCATGGCCGGGTCTGGCAGACACCGCGCAGGGGAAGCTCCTGGGTTTGGCTTCCAGTGGAACCAGCTTTGGGCTGGAATGGTTCCCTGTGTCAGAGATGTGGGATTTCATTCCTATTAATGCGCAGACCATCCCACAGAGCTCCTTGTGGGAGAGTGGCTCAGCTGAGCGCAGGGAAATCCAACATTTCCTCCAAGCAAGAGCCACAAACCCACAAAATAAGTGACTTATTAAGATTATTCTTTAACCAGATGTCCTCAGAGGATTGCTGTGGGCAGATCTAGGGGTGCTTCCATCCCTCCTGGTCATTCCTGTGGCACAGGAATTGCTGGGGTGGTGGCACTGGGACCCTCCTTCCCCCTCAGCTGACAAAAATCTGACCCAGCCTAACACAGAGCAGGCCAGGCTTTGTTGCTGGGTGTTTCTGTGCACACAGCTCAGAGTGTATCCTAAATATCCCAGGTATCCAGCTGTTCCTTTGGTTATTTTGTTGATTCCATGAGCGGGAGACACCTTTTCTCATGGATCCATGACTCGAGCGTGTTGAGGGCAAATCCTGCAGAATTATTTCCTTTCTCTCGGAGCCCCAACACATTTTTATGGCCAGAAATTGCAAGACCACAATAAGGAACATGCCCTTGAATTATCTCCCAGCACTCAGCATCAGCTGTATCAGGTTAGCAACGCCTGAGCCAATTCCAGCCCCACATTTGGGGGATCGAGTGTCCAAATTTTGTGCAGCACAGCGATGAAGGCTCGCTCACACGGGCTGGGATTCCGTCCAAGCATTTAGGGGTGATTGAATTTAATTGTGAATGATGCAATAGACATATGGCTGGGAAGCTATATGCCAGGAAACATGTTTTCTATAAGTATTTTAGCAGGCAGATGGCACACAATGGTTTTGGTGCAGTCATTTCCTCACCTCTTAAAGGCTGCTATTTCGGACAGATGAAATAATCCCATCCCCACCATCCCCCCCAAGGCAGCAGCACTGCTGGCCCAGAGGATGTGCAGGGTTTGGGGGCTGCTCCTGGGCACAAACACATCAAATAAATCCACCTTGCACCCACCTCCCCAGTGCCACTCACGGGTTCCAAAGCATTTCGATGACTTTCCCACTTCAAATGGAGTGGGCAAAAACTCTCCACAGCACTTCAGAGGCACTTGGAGCAAACCACACCATGGGGAAACCCCAAAGGACACAAACTCTGCATCCCAACCCTCAGCAGGCTGCCCCATTCCCAGACAGCAGCTCCTTCTGGAAATCACTCTCCTCTCTCACATCCAGCACACTCAGCCCCCAAAAACTGCTGCAGGAGGAGGAGGAGGAGGAGATGCTACAGGAGCAGATCCAGCTTCTGGGAATGATGGACAGCCAGAGCAGAGCACGGAGCTGCAAATAAAACGGGATTTAGTGAAGTTTGGGTTGTTTTTCCTAGGAAAATGCTGTTGGGATCACATCTGCTTTGGTGCAGCACCAAATCCTGGTCCTTTGGTTCCTGGAACCTTTGGTTCTGTGCAGGAGAACCCAAACTCTGCCCTGAGCAGGCAGTTCCTGAGGGATGGACGGGTGGGATTCAGCTCCTCAGGGATGGACAGGTGGGATTCAGTTCCTGAGGGATGGATGGGTGGGATTCAGCTCCTGAGAGGGATGGACTGGTGGGATTCAGCTCCTGAGGGATGGACAGGTGGGGTTCAGCTCCTGAGGGATGGACAGGTGGGATTCACCTAAAAAAACCCCCAAAGATCCCCAAAGCTGACCCAGCAGCATCACCCTTATTGTGATTTCCTTTAAAACTTGTCATCCCTTGGTTTTATGCTGCTGGGATTTCATGGTGGTGTAATTCCCTTTCTACACCAGGTTGTCCTGGGGAGCCCTGGCCGTGCCCTCCTGCCCAGGAGGCTGCTGGGCAGACTGGGAGCTGCTAAAAGCTCTCCCTGAATCCTTGTTTTCTTCTCCTCCAGGCATCCCCAGGACTTCAGTGGGAGCCATTCCCCCCACAGCACCAACCCCACAACCTGAGGGGGTTTTTGGGTGAGTTTCAGAGCTGTTGATGGATTTTCTTGCCCTCTGAGCTGTGCTTTGGCCATGCTGATGAGGAGATAGCATCTCCAGGGGCCTCCTTCTTCCCGTCTCAAATCCAGGAGGGATTCCATGCCAGGACAACAAAGGGCTTTATTTAGCCCTGGAGCTGGGGCAGCCTGGCTGGTTTCCTGCCTCTGCTGCTCCAACTGTTTCCAGGTCACTGCAGTGAGCATCTCCCGGCTCATCCTGTGCCAGAATTCCCCTTTTCCCACCCAAACCCTGTTCCTGTGCCTGGGAAAAGCATCCCCTCCCTGCAGGCTGCAGAGTTTGCCCCTTCTCACCTTGTTTTGTAGGCAATTCCTCCTGACCTGCCCCAGCTCTGGTGTTGCTGCAGGAGAATGTTCCTCTGGGGCGGATTTTCATGGAAAATCACTCAAATCCTTGATTTCCATCCCAGCCTCCTGCCCCTTGCAGGGATTAAAGAGCTGGGAATGGCCCGTGTGAAAAATGCCAATCGCTTGTTTTAAAATTGTTTAAAAGTTTAATAATAATAAAATGGTTATAAAATGTAAAAAATGGTAATAAATATAAAATGGTTATAAGTAGTAATACAAGTTAGAGTAATAAGAATTTGGACAATCAGAGTCAGGACAATAAAAAAGTAAAGGATGATGAATGTTCAGATGCTTTCCTCTTGGATGTGTGGCTTGTTAACAAAGGATTAACCTTTAAAAGCAATAGCCTGCTGCATATTAATCCATGCAATACAGGATGCACACATTCTTTTTAAACCAGAGATTTTTGGTTATTGTTAACTTTCCCCCCCTCATCTTGTAAACCAATTTT